GATGTCAATGCCATTCCAAAAGTTATTCTGAAATTTCAGGCGTAATTATTTGCATGAAATTTTTTTTTAAAAAACCCACTTTGATTTCGAGATTATGGAAAACGTGATAGTTCCAGTCTATTTGAAGTGCTGGAGAAAATTCAGGAGTGCGAAAATCGAAGAGACCAGCCTGAAAGGTCAAGTATCCATTTAAATTACAATTCTGGAAATTTCAAAATTTGATAAAATTAAGGACTTTAAAATTTTTTCAACTTATAATATCCAGAACAGGTAAGAAGGCGTAGGAACCAAAGCATTCACCTTCTCAATGATCCAGTTATGCATAGTAGTCTGTCCAGTGAATGTGGGAGGATTTGCCAATAGCGAATACCGTACTCCCGCCCAACGAGGTTCCGCGCAACGTATGGCTAAATATCTTCCACTAACTCTAAATCTTGTATTTACCTTGCCTAACTTACCCACAACCTCAGTGTCGCGACAGCCGGCTGGCACATTGTGACTAATACCATCGTGACGGCATCGAGTGAGATCGACCTAATATGATTGATACAACTACAATTAGTAGTTACAGCAAGCAAATTCCTTAAAGTTTAAGGATTACTTCGTTCTCCTCACAACGGATATTGTCCACAATCATGGGCAAGTCTCCTTTAGAGCGGAAAATTCTCCAATTTTCAAAAAATTCAGGGTCAGAAACAAGTCCAAGTTGATTGCAAGCCATTTGAGCGAGTTTCGCAGACCAGGTCCGATTGCAGACTGTACCCCAAGTATCATCAATGAAAACCTAGAGTAATACGGGGTAATTGGAAACTAATTTTTGAATAAACTTCTTGCAAAGAAAGAATGTTTAGAAATAAACAAAAACTGAAACATTTGGGAAAAAAGGAACAAAATTGTGTAAAAAATTTTCAAACTGACCTCAAGCCGTCCTTCGGTAACTTCATCACTTCCATCTTCATCAACTAGTCGAATATTCTTATTCTTTGCAAGAGTAAAGGGTTTGCTAGTAAAAATGACTTTCTTCTCAGGACCGAAAAACTCCGTTCTGGATAGTTCTCCCTAGAAAATATTGGTTTTAAATAAAATTATGTAAATTAGCGTCAGATCTAGAAATACAAATGCACCTGCACAAGCATTCCCACACCATCGTGAAATTCAAGTGTGGATCCGGGTGCTATGGTAAGTTTTGCTCCAGGAACTACATGTAAGTCATCGGTTACGGTATACCTGAGGGATATATTGTTCTGAATTGAGCCAAACCTAGGAAACTTGGCTCATACCTTCCAGGAGCGAGGTCGTGGTTCTCATAGATGGTTCCGCCAAGCACAAATGGTTGTGAGTCCTTACGAAACTCTCGGAAAAACTCCTCAAGTTCAGTAATGTGAGGATTTCGTTGATTACATACAGCCGCATAAGGATCGACTTCAAGTACCGCGAGAGAGTAACGATAGAACTGAATGTTGAAAATCAATAACTATTGAACACATTTAACTGAAAGCTCGTACCTGATCGAATATTTTTTTCATGAACTGGGAAGGGTCCGGCGATCCCCAATTGTTCTCCTTAGCATCGATTCTTTTCGCGTGTTCCGTCAGTTCTGTTCCAATTTCGTAAGTGGCTTTTGGATTTTTGAAACAATTGCGGCGAATAATGACGTTGCTGAAAAGAGAAGGGTTTAAAACAAAAAAGGTAGGTTTTTAAAAGTTTGAATTGTTTATTTTGGTAGATTTTAGTGATTCCGGTATAAATGACTATCAAAAGTGAAAAAAACCAGTTAATAGGCATGAGTTTACCGAAAAAACTGCTCTGCGAAAACTGGTCTTTTCAACTTTTCCTCGCCTTTAATTCAGTTCTTTTCAAAGTAAAAAGTCAGCAGGACGTTTTGAATAGCGAAATAATGGACCTCTACACTAGAAA